AGCTCCTTTCCACTGCGGAGCAGCATGATCTGCGTGAGGCGTGTTCCGCTATGCGAAGGGGCCGTAGGTGGAAATCCCGATAGGGCACCATCCCTGTGAGGGGTGTGCCGAGATGGGCGGGGGTCCGGAAGTGGAGATCCCTGAGGGCATGATCCGTGTGAAGGATGTGCCGAAATAGCCGGGGTGACGCTGTTCAGATATGTATGCCCACGATAGCGCAGATGTTCCCACTTGGTGATCGTGGTGGGATGGCATTCGTACCCATCCGCTGATTGATATGACGCTGGTTTTGCCTTGGCTAGAACAGAAGCGCTAAGCGTGCGCGTTGTTCTAGTATATCATATGCCTGGCCCCGGGCCAGGACACATCAACGACTTCTTCCCCTTCCACCCCCCTTTCGGCACACGAAATCTGGACCCCTTCCGGGTCTCGCGGGCCTCCCTCTTGCGGCCCGAGACAGCGGTGGTGGCCATGCAAGAGCGACTGGAGCGGCCCAACGGGGCCGACAACGCCCCAAGATTACGTCAAGATGGCCCGGGGGGGCCCCGAAGACAGTTTCCAAGAAGTCTCTAAGATGCTCCCCGAGAGGACCCCAGGAGGCTACATTTGCGCAGTTCAAGCAGTGGCGGAGCGTCCTGGCGTACCTATGGGCCCACCAAGGAATGTTCTAAGAACCCTTTGTGGTTTCCAGGACATGTTCTTAGAACATTTCGGGTTGGGACTGTCTTGTTTTGGTACATCGTGTTTTTGTTCCGAGAATATTTTTTTGTTCTTAGAGCATTTTGGGGTTCTCAGAACATCTTCGTGGTAGGCCTATAGGAATGCCTGGACGGTTGGCCCCTGCTCAAGCATTGGGAAAGCATGCATTTTTAGCAGATTCGCTCTTTGGGCTGGAACAGCTTCCAAGACGGCCCAAGAGAACGCCAAGATCGTCTCAAAACGTCCCACGAGGCCTCCAAGAGGGCCCCAGGCTGGCCCGAGAGAGTCCCAAAGACGGTCCAACAGGCGCCCAAGACGGCCCAAGATGGGGAACTCGAGCGGACATTTCGAGCCCTCCGCCACAAATGGGCCTCCAAGGCCGCCAGCAGGCCTCTTTTGAGGCCCCCAAGGGCCACAAAAGATGCCCCAAGAGGCCCCCAAACGACCCCAGAGAGGCCCCCAGAAGCTTCAGAACTCGCTCCACGAGGCGCCCGAGAGGCATGCCAAGAGACCCCTGATTTATGACAGGTGTCCAAGAAGGCCCTGTCCCCAAAGTGAGGCACGGTGGCGGTCTGGGCCGAAGAAATCCCGGTAGGCGGGGTGTCGCTATTCAGATATGTATGCCCACGATAGCGCAGGTGTTCACATGTGGGGTGGGACATGGCGTTCGTACCCATCCGCTGATTGGTATGACGCTGGCTTTGCCTTGGCTAGAACATAAGCGCCAAGCGCCCGCGTTGTTCTTGCTGGCGATGATGCGCGGTCCTCCGACTCTCCAAATGATCCAATGTTCCGAAGCATCAACACCGTCATGAACACTCGAGCGGAACCCTGGACCTCTTCTTTCTGAGTTGTTTTTGGACCGAATCGATCTGTGAGGTTCCCAGCCCCGGTCTCGAAACAAGGCAAAACAATCCGCTGGGAAAAAAACGACGCCATGATCTCAGGGATAATCCGCGATCCCCCGAACCCATCTGCTCGGACCCTGGTTGGGAGGCCTCCCAAAGCTGTCAACTGCATCTGCTTAGCTCGTGCTCTGAACCTCTGCTTATCCGCCGCCGCTTCTCGCGAAGGCCCAGTTCCGCCTGGGGCAGAAGATCGACCTGCAGAAGGTCGCCTTCGGATACCGGCGCGGCACCTAGTAGCTACTGGGCGTTTTGGGGCAGCTTCCCAGACTGGTGCGACTTGGACAGTCATCGTGCTTGTCCTTCCCTCTTGGTCCGACGTCGCGAAAAAAACGCAGCATCGCAGACAAAACTCGACCAGAGCCCTGGCACCTTTCTTTCTGCGGCATCTCTCGAGCCAGATCGATCAGGTGGGGCCATCGGGGGCCCGATACGTGGCAAATCGCCCGCTGTGTGAACAACATGCGCCGCCAGAATCTCATCGGCGTCGCCCCAACCTACTAATACTACCTACTTAATACTACCTATACGACCACCCTTCGGGTGATATGGAGGTTCGGGGGGGGGGGAAGAGGGGTAACCAACGTTTTATTCAATCCATCTCACATCGATCAACTCTCGATCTCACGACAGATTTGAACGATCGATCTCACTATCGATCTCATGTCAGATCTCGCTATCGATCTCACAAGCGATCTTATCATCGTGTCGACAATCGATCTCACTAACGATCTCATACGCGATCTTACGATCGATCTCACAACAGATCTCACTATCGACCTCCCAATCGATCTCACCATCGATCTGACAATCGAACTTCCTATCGATCTCAGATTCGAATTCACTACGGATCTCACACCGGTTCCCTCGATCGGTCTAATTATCGATCCCACAATCGATCTCACAATCGATCTCAGCCTCGACCTCATTGCTAATGTCACTATAGATCTCACGAGCAATATCACCATCGATCTCACAACAAATCTCACCATCGATCTCACAACAGATCTCATTTTCGATCTAACAACTGATCTTAGGATGAATCTCATTGTCGATCTCACAACAGATCTCACTATCGATCTCACTATCGATCGTACCGCCGCGCCACGGACGGGACACCCCGCGCCGGGACACCCTGCGTCACCGACGGGACACCGCCGCGCCTCCGACAGGACACCGACGGGACACTGCCGCGCCACCGATGGGACACCCCTGGCCACCGCGCGCGGGGGGGAGGTGGCGGACGACCAGCTCCACATCCCCTAGCCGCGGCGGCATCATTCCTCGCGTGCGCCCACTCAGTTCCGCTTCGCCCGCACGCACGAAACGAACACGATACCGAAACCGATTTCATGGTGGGGGGCTCTCCGTTCCATTACGATCTCCCCCCCCCACCTCCGTTAAGTTCGTTGCCCCCCAGGAGCGACGCTCGCGCCCAGAAATCTCACAGTTCATGCTCCGTGGCGTGCGCTTTCTGGCCGTCCTGCTCGGAAAACGATGGATGTGTAGTATATTTCCGGTTCGGACGCACGCCTCCGAGGTGGAACCCTCTCAGGATTTCCGCGATCCCGTCCCGTCTCCTCCTTCGGCCTCGAGGGTGGGAGTGGGGATCCCGCCCGCTCCGGCCGCCTCGGCCTCCGCCTCCGCGCCGGAAAGGCCACGCCTCCGTGGAGGCGTCTTGGCGGCCTGGGCCGTCATAGCAGTCTTAGATCGCCTCAGGGAAGTGCCATGGAAGCCTCAGGGTTCCCGAGAGTCTCCCCCCCACCTTAACCCCTGAGTAGTTTTTATCCCCAGGTCAGACATATTTGGTTTTGGGAGAGGGCGGCGAGGCCGAACTCGATTATCGCGGAGGGAATTTGCGAATTGAAGTTGCTATCTTCTTACGTTGACGAGCAAGACAATCAAAAACGCTGAGCATGGCAAGGGGGGTCTCACCATTTCAGCTTTCGCAAGTCACGAGCATGTGGCAGGTACATGGGATTCTTCTCACCATTCATTCTCACCAAAGGGTGCCGAGTCTCCATGGGCGAATGGTTCGAAGTGGTACGCAAGAGGTTTCTTGGCCAGGAGCGCCAAGGACCTCTCCTGCGCAGTACCATTAAGCGCGAAACTCGAGGACACCAAGGACAGTTTTGTGCGAGGATCTAGTTACACGAGCGCCCAGGAGCATCATCATCATCATCATCATCATCATCATCATCATCATCATCATCATCATCACCATCATCACCATCATCATCATCATCATCATCATCATCATCATCATCATCATCATCATCATCATCATCATCATTCGCATCATCACCATCTTTCCACGCCGGGGAAATCCTTTACTATCCCCCCAGATCCCGAACTTCCGTTCCGCCGTTGTCCGCGGGTGAGACGCTGCTGGTTGGGGGCGTAGCATGCGTGAGCAGTTCGCTCAGATATCGCAGCATCACATTGGCAGGTTGTTTCCGGATCTTTCGAAATTCAATGAACGCATCTCTCGCTGCCTCTGGTTTTATCAGTGGAAGCATGCCAGCGGCATTCGGGGTCCAGGGCGCTTGCCTTCCAGAGTGTTATTTCAGCGGTGTCCTGGGTCAGTGGGGCGGTCTTGGCAGGGTGCTCCTTAGCAGGCATCATGGCCGCAGAGTTCGCGAACAATCTCATGGTTTCCCTGGCCAGCGCATTCTCTGCTGTCCTGTTTAGGAATGTGGTTGGTGATGCGCGTGCCCACTGTGTCGGTGGGCGAGGCAGGCAAGGCCCTGGTGCCGGCCACGAGGACGGATCTCATCCTTTGTGCGAATATTCTACTACACTGCGTCATCGACTGTGCGATCCGCGGACTGATCCAACATGCGGCACAACGAGCTCTTCTCACGCGGCTTCGCGTCGAAGCCTCCCTGGCACGGATGCGCGCTCGAGCGATGGGGCGAGCGATGGCCGCGGCGGCGAAGCGGATGGGGAACGCTTCCGAGGGTTCATGGAAGACTTGCGCGCTGGGACGCACGGGTGCCGAGCTGGCAAGCACGTGGAGAGCGGGGCCACAGGCGGCGGCCCTCCGGGGTGGTGCCGCGGCTGGTCTGCCGGGGCGGTGGCTCCGTCTTCCGAGAGACGCCGCCCTCGGCAGAATCTGCGGGAGCACGAACGGGCACCTCGGTGGGGCCGAAGCTTACGGCCACCCGCAGAACCTGCATCACGGTCAGGCTGCGGGGCTCCAGGCTCGGGCGGTTTGGCGCGGGAGGCCTCCCCATCCATAGCCTGCGGACCGCTTTGGGCGCGGCAGCTGCTGGCCTCGGCCAGGCCGCCAGGCCGTGGGCTCTTGGGTGGTCGGCCACCTCGGCTGCCTCGTTAGTAGCTGGCACAGGAGAGTTGGTCAACGTTTGCAGGCCTGGGCGCAGGAAGGCCCAGTGAATGGCCGCTCGTGCGGCCGAGAGCTTGTTGGATGTCATGGCGCTCGGCGGGATGGGCGATGCCCCGAGTTGGCGGCGTTTGGCCCAGCTCCTGGGGGCCAAAACCATTGGCGCCTGGGCCGACAAGGAACGCGCAAGGTCTGTAGTTGCCCAAGAAACGCAGTGGTGCCACGCCAACCAGTATGGGCGCTGCAAGTCTCAGGCGGATCTTTACCAGCTGTGCACGGACGCTGGAGGTGCACTATGGCGCCGTAAGTTCCGCCGCCCCCACTGGGCAGCAGAGCGAGAGAGAGAGAGAGAGAGAGAGCGGAGGAAAGAGAGAGAGAGAGAGAGGTAGAGAGACGGGGACAAGGAAAGAGAGAACGAGAGAGAGAGAGAGAGAAAGAGAGAGAGAGAGAGAGAGATAGAGACGGGCAATCCCACCCCTGTTTTTCAAGGCGGCCCCAGCTAGTCGAATCACCTGCCGAGTCCTCGAGAAGGCGGCCTCGGGCCTCTTCCCCTTCCCCCTTGAGTTGGGATGTCGCCCCGTCTCGGTGTCAGGGTTCGAGGTGGTCTGGGTTCCTTCGGCCTGGGGGGCTCTCCCTGGGGAAACATTCGCGAGCGGTTCCGCCCTTTTCCCGACGTGCTCCCTGGCCAGGCGAGCTGTCTGGCATCTGGTCATGCTTGGGGACGGCGAACAAGTGCAAGTTGCCGCTGCTGTGTGCGGGGCCGCCCCCTGGGAACTGGGAGCTGGCCCGCTTCCAAGTGGCCATGGGCGGTGGGCACGTTGCGCTACTGATGGCCGCCAGGAGGTGCGCACAGGGCCCTGCGACCTGCTGCGCGGATTGCCAAGGCACTGTGGATTGCGAGAATGAGTTCATGCCAGGGTGCAAAGCCAGCGGCCCCAGATGCCACACCTGGGAGGAATTCCACGGGCGGCTCCGAGGATGCAGGGCGGTCGAGGTGAAAGCCCACCTGCCGTTCGGAGTTGCGTCAGAAGGCAAACGTTCGCCCTGCGACTCGTCGGGCAGCAGGGCTGCTGACCACTACGCCTGCTTCGGCGCCGCACTGCACCCAGACACCTTCCTCGCTTAGCAGCTCGAGACCATTGGCCAGCCGGTCATGGCGGTGGCCCAGAGGGCTGCCACGCAGAAGGCCATGATGTCCGAGTGTGATACCGTCGACTCTCCGCCTTCCCTCGTTGGCGGGGGGGCGGTGTCGGGGTCGGGTGGGGGGGGCGCGGGCGGCACCAGTGCCAGAAGGCCGCGGACCAGCCGACCACGGCGTCGGGGCAGGCCCCTCACTGGATCTGGGAAGGACGAGTTCAACACATATCAAGCCCTGCAAGGCCACGCGCTGGAGCAGGCACCTGCTGCATGGCCTCTGGGTTCCCGCCTTGGCCCGACAAACACCAGACAGTGCTTGCATAGTTCTGTTGTGGGGGGTACGCCCGTGGTGGCATCTCGTCATTTGCGCGTCCATGCGACGGAGCGCCCCCCACGATCGCGGTCGGTCGTCAGAAGAAGCGGGCGTCTAGTTTCCCTGTGGGGTCAGCCCAATACAAGGGTTTGTCGGTAAGGAAAACGGTGCCCCCGTCCCCGCATGCAATTGTTAGCCTGCTGGCGCCTATGATGATGATGAGGAGGAGGAGGAGGAGGAAGAGGAGGAGGAGAAGGAGGAGGAGAAGGAGGCGGCGGGGGTGGAGGTGGAGGTGGAGGAGGAGGGGGAGGGAGGAGGGAGGGGGGAGGTGGAGGGGGGCGGGAGGCAGGTCCAGAATGAAGCCAAGGAGGATATCGAGGAGATGTTGGTGGTGAGTGAGGAGGAGTGCCAGGAGGAGCAGGAGGAGGAACCATTCGTAGGAGGAGAGGGAGGAGGGAACCTTACGTTGGAGAGCCCCAAAGTAGTACCAACCCGACGTAGGAGGAGGAGGAGGAGGAGGAGGAGGAGGAGGAGGAGGAGGAGGAGGAGGAGGAGGAGGAGGAGGAGGAGGAGGACAAAGAGGACGAGGAGGAGGAGGAGGACGAAAAACCTTACGTAGGAGAAGAGGGGGAGAAGGAGGAGGAGGAGAAGGAGGAGAAGGAGGACGAGGATGAGGAGGAGGAGGAGGAGGAGGAGGAGGAGGGAGGAGGGCGGAGGGAGGACGGAGGAGGGAGGAACAACAATCCGACGCGACTGCGTTGCTTGCCGTCGCTCTGCCTTCGACCCCCCCTCCGGAGTCGGAAGCCCCCTCGAAGCGCCGCGTCGAAGCTGGAAGGTTGGGGGTCACTGCGCAGGTCATGGCGCCAGCATCGCAGAGGGGATTGGGATTTGGTTCGGAAACAATAGGATGGGTCCAGAGCGTCCCGGAGAGTTTCGTTTCGTAGTTCGAGCGTTTTTGTTGCGACATTCTCTTCGTTTTTCGTTCGCCGCTTCGGGCAAACATCCACGCAGAAATCCGCTGCAGCACGTCTGCAAGGCCGGTGCAATGACAAAGGGGGTCAGCCAGGGCGCCGGATCTTGCAGGATTCTGCAGAGCCAGGGTTGCACTGACCCGAGCTAGCGTGCAGATCTTGCAGGATCCTCCAAGGCCCGACTGACCCGGGTTCATATTGATTCGGGTTAGTAGAGCCCCATACGCCGCGCCGCGAAGGAAGCCGTCGGCGTCGTCGTCGGTAGCGTCGTCGTCGGTTGCGGCGTCGTTGGCATCGGCGGCGTGGTCGTCGACGCTGGAAGGTTCGATGTACCATGCCCTTCATGCATTCGTTTTAAGCTTTGTTTCTTTTCCAATGTGCGGATGACAACAAGTTCTATGTAAAGCCGCCTTGAACGTAGTTGCGCGAATGTCTCGTGCTATATCCTGATTCGTCATGTTTGCGTCATCGCTGTCCTCGGCGTTGCCCCCCGGCGAATAGCTCGTGCGGGCGCTGCTCCCGGGGGCAGGGCGCGGTGCCACCGGCGTCGTCGTCGTCGTCGTCGTCGAGTCCTCGGTGGCGTCGTCGTCTTCGTCGGCGTCGGCGTCGGCGTTGGTGCTGACGTCGCCGAAGGCTTCATCACGGTCGTCGTCGGCGTCGTCGGCGGCGGCCTCGGCGGCCTCGTCGGCTGCGGCGTTGGCGGCCGTGGCGATGGCGGGGCGGGCGCACCCGGGGATGCGCCGAGGCACGCGGAGCTGCCCGGCCGACGGCGGCCGCGGGGAGGAGGGGGGTGCGCGAGGAGGCCCAGGGAGAGGCCCAGGGAGGAGGAGGAGG